AGGAAGTTAATAATTTAAATAAAACTACAATCTGGGACAATTTTCTTTCAAATTAAAATCAAAWTGATTATTTAGTAACTAATTTAATCCTTAGTAATGCAGTGAAGACAAAACATATTAGAAAGTAATGTGCTAAATCTATTTAAGTGGTGCTTCTAAATATTGATTTATTTATTCTTATTTTGGAGCACAAGAGCTTCTAGTGGTTTTAGGGATGTTTATTAGGATTTTTATTGTATTCATTCATCTTTCTTTTTGTTGCCCTGCTGTATTAAGAGTATTTTCTATGGTATCAGTACCTGATATGAAATGTTTTTTTATCCTAACAGTAATTTTGTAATCAGTAAATATTGTTTAGAATTATAAAGTTTAGGAAGGGCAGAGAGCAGGGCTCAGGTTGGGGCCAGGGGATCAGACCAGGGGTCAAAATTGAAGGGTCAGCAGCAGCGTGAGTCCAACCCACAGTCCAGAGCAGTCCGGTGCGGGGCTTTCTGCAGGCGCGCACGCTGACCTGCTCAAACTTCCAGCCGTCCGACATCGTGGAGACCATCTGGGTCAGCTCCTCCTCCTGGCACTGCAGCACTCTGTAGACGTGCTTGGGGGGCACCTGCTGGAGAAYAGCAGGATACGAGTACAAATATTTAATTTGTTGACAAGTTGTAGAAAACTAATAAAGTTTAAAATACATATTTTTTAAAAATAATTTTCTGGAAGAAGGGGACCATGAGTTTTTTTGCCCTTTCTTTAAATGCAGTTGATGGACAGTGAAGAAACAAGAAATAATGTGACGAAGGACTACAAATCCAGCTCTTCTACMTTAACATTGGCACTATTTTTATCTCAAGGAACAGCGCAGTGTTTGTTCCAGTAAAACACATAAAGTGGGTGTATGTTTGAGAGGCCGGAGGGATTATGTAAGAGTGAGCTGGAAAAAGAAAAGGAAGAAAATAAACATTTTTTAAGAGAAGGTTATTTGGGAAGAACCATGATGATGAAAATTTAATGTCTTTGAATCTGGCTTTTTTGTGGCTTCAACATAAGAAATCAGCAAAAAAGTTATATTCTGTGACACGCTGKTCATAATAAAGTGCTTCAAAATACTTTATTCATACATTTGTGTAAGATAAATTCACAAATCACAGTCAGGCCTAAAATACAAACTTAACCTAAGCTAAAAAGCAATCAGGGTTAAAAATTACATCAGTAATACTTAAAATACTACAAGAAAGTTAGTCTTTTTTAAAACAACAGAACAAAACTTAGCAGAAAAGTTAAAGAAATGAGTGTTTGGTAGATAATTTCTTTGTTGTAATAATYCTTCTTGGTAATAAATCMTATACCTGGCACCTGACTGGCAGCACCTGGGGGAACAAGAAGCTCAAAACAWGTGTTGAGGTTCTGAACTTACCTGTGTGGCTTTAGAGTCCCGCTCTGTGATCCTCTCCTTTATTAATTTGATCAGTGGGGTGATGTTGTAAAACTCTGCCTCCTCTAGGACACCTTTAAAAAAAAGTAAGTCAGCTGCAGTCTGACCTTATAACACAGTTGCTCTCAACTTTTATATTTACTCATCTAAGTGGATTATTTCTAACATATTTTCATTTATTTTTCCAGTCACTTATTCAACATTGGTTCATTCTTGGTTATAATAATAATTACTTACAGTAACCCATGTCTCACCACTCAAAAAATCTATATAAATTACAAATCTGTTAGAAAGCTGGTGTAACATCCTCTCATTCTCTAAAAWTTCAAAAGCTAAACTTTCAGTACATTAATGAATTTTGTCTGTTGCATGTTTGTCGTCTTTTCAGTTCTGATTAAAGCTCAATGTAACACATGGTTAATTCTGAACCCATCAGAGAAGAGAAAAAACATCTGAGACCTTCCTCTGCAAGCTCCTTGTTGTAGACCAGTTTGCCGTGCCGCAAGTAGTTCAGGATGGGGCCGAAGTAGGTGGGGTCTCTATCAATCACATAGGCTCCAGTTTCATCCTGTAACAAAACAAAGACAAACAAGAGCAGAGTTACACCCTAATCACAGCTTAAATGGACATAAACTACTGTATAATCCTTTGTGCTCAATTATGTGTAGCGGTAATTTGGGTGTATTAATTAATTCAATTCAAAAAAAAAAATTCAAAAATACTTTATTGATCCCAGAGGGAAATTAGGTTTATGTTTAGTTTTATTTTAGGTTAATTATGAGATTTCCTCGTGGAGCACCACTTCCCTTTTATTTTGTTATTATTACACAGGAAAGAGAAAACTGTTAGCTATATCATTCAGTCTCTATTTATTACCCAAATTAATAATGAGTTCTTTTCTTAGAAAAAAATCAATAATGCTTTATCAAGACACAGAAAATAGACGTGATCTTATGTTGACATGCTCATCACATTTCGTTTATTTACAGATTAAATGTATTTACATGTTATGGCAAGTATGAAATGATGACATTATTGAACCATGTAAAAACTGAAAGAGTTTTGCAATCACAAGTGAATAACAAACAAACAAACAAACAAACAAACAAATAACATAAAAGGGGGGTTTTTAAGGCTGGAATGAGGGGAGTTTTGCTTCAGCTGAGAATTTAACTAAGGGATCCTAGTTAAATGAGGGAGAGGAAACGTTTAGATTTATCAAACTCATTCAAAGATAAAAATCAAATCAGCCTGAGCGTCTGAGCAACCGGTTGTCACCAGCAAAATGTTCACCTTCACCCTTGTTTCTGCCGTGCGGGTACAAGGAGGGAAATCAGCGACTGAAGGTTGTCTCTGGGTGTCGTTTCCCAGAGGAAAACTCTTCATCCCTGCTGGATGTCAGGCAACCGGGGTTTTGCCTGCATACTCAACTGGTCCCAGTGGTCGGAGAACGGTTGATTCTCTGGTGAAGAAGAAAGGTCTTGTCTCCTTMGGCTGCTGCAGAGAGTGATAATTTGATTCCAACTTRGTAGAAGAAAAACYGACTAAAACGACGCATGAGTTAAAATTAGCTTATTGACTTCTATTAAAATCAAGCTCAGGTGTTGAGCCGACGTGAAACGGTGGCTGAGCGTCCAGACCAGCAGGCGATGCAGAGCCTGGGTCCTGGCCAGCCATTGGTGGGGGGGGCTGTCAGGGTCAGTCTCTGCTGAAGCTTCTGATGTCTTCTGCTGCTGAGATTCAAATCTTCCAACTCTCTTTCTCTTGGGAGTGCGCTGACTTTTTAAAACCTTTGTTTGGGGCGGAGTTAAGGTTTGTTAGTTGGCCAACAAAAATGTTACWCAAGTTACAAAAAAGTTTTTTTTAACAAATCAGATCCGTTGGAGGGAAACTTTACTTCTAAAACAAAGAAAAGGGTGTGTTCTAGTTTATCTTGCCTCTATCTAAAAAGAAAAGAGAGGATATATATATATATATGTATATGGCAGACTGGTCGTAGGTGACATGTCAGACAACGAAAGATTCAATAAACTCTTACAGACAAACAAAAACAAGGAACTCTGTGTCCCTTGCCCAGACGTGGGTTACTGGAGCACCAGTGTACAAATCAAGGTCCATAAAGACCTGGATGGCAGTCTGGTGTGGATGAATAKCATGGGTTGGGCAATACTGGCAAAAAAATTAATCGCGATTAATTATGGTTTTTAGCTGATAATGATTAATTTGATGATTAATCCCCTGGAGTCCCTGGACACCCTTATGTCCTCCTYGTCACATGACCAATTTAGTGGGAAAGATTTGCTCTTCGTACAAATCGATTCCAAATTGTGTCAAAATTACAAACTTCAGGCTATAAATCAAATTATGAAACGTGTTGAGACATYAATWACAGAACTTTTTTTTTACGTTCATCATATCTGAAGCAGAGAGGAGCAGCGAGRGGACTCTGCCTGGTGGCATTAATCGTATTAATCGTCAAGTGCCAAAAAATAATCGATTAATGTTTTTCTGACGATTAATTGCACATGATACGATTATGCCCAACCCTATACCATACCAAGTGAAAGTCAGATTTATGATAAAAACAAATGCAAAATTTGGGTMGGTGGTATCTGCAAAGGTAATTTCCACATTAATTTCAGGCAGAACGATACTTATGTGTGGACTGTTGGGACTTTTGGTGATAGTGACTTTTATTTAACCTTGTTAAAGACTGAGGAGACCCATTGCGGTTTAAAACCTTCTTTATTCAGACCTAGATGTTGCCACATATTGGCAACCTGAACAGTCTGCAGCCCCTTGCTAAAACAGATACAGTGTACACTAGGAGTTTTTTTTATCAGTACCARCATGARATTTTGTTTTAWTAGCAGTTTTATTATAGTTATTGCATCAGAGGAGAGTGGTGACATTGAGGATAGAGAAGGTGAGCCTGTGATTAGTAGGTTGCCAGTAGGGATGTAACAATACATCAATCCATATTGACTAAATGGTTAACGATTCAATTATATCAAGGCAAAATTAAAATATTGATCTATATCATCATCATATGCTCAATGTGAATCCATCATATGCTCATCTAACCCCTAATTTACACTACTTGCATTCCGTCTCCGCTCCGCTCTGCTGCGCAGGTCGCAGCTGTGTGTTTCAAGTCCAGTTTACACCACCACCACTCCGCTCCGACAGACGTGCAGGAAGGAGATCGCACGATAAATTCAGTGATAAGTGTGGAAGTTACAGCAATAAATAATTAATTCTGTGAAAGGCTAACTCCAAACACAGCTGAAAACAACGATATAAAGGCTTTTGGTATTTATGTTGAAACTGTCTGTCGGCTTTCTGAAACTTTTGATTTCAAAATAAAATCCAGGTGTATCGTGTGTGTACACATATGCTTCATGCTACATGTTTCCATCTGCTTCCCAAACAGAACAATACATTCTGACACCATTTGTGTAGAAATATATCCGTATATTTATTTAAATAGCTGGAATTTTGACATTATTCCGACAAATTATCCAGCCTAAAGGTGTCTTATTTTGAAAATACGTATGTTGTGCTCGTTTCTTTTCCTGTTGGTGTGACGTAATCTTTAAAAATCGACTCCGGCGCTGCTACGGCATCCGTCAAAAATAGGATCTGTTCTAATTTTGATGGATCGCCGTCCGCTCACCGCCGCCAGTGTAAACACCCTCATTGATTATAATGGGTGTGTATTTGCTGCGGAGGTTGGACCGGAGCGGAGATGGAACGCAAGTAGTGTAAACTGGGGGTAACACAGCCATTGTGTTAGATGGGCATCAAATCGTCATCCAAACAAATCGATGTAATATGTCGTGATAAAGCTGGTGATTTACACATCTAGTTGGCAATTCAAATCAAAAATGTGAGTGGGAAAGATAAAGCACCCACYCCTGCTTCCAAACTCATTTGAGCAAGGCTCTTAACTAGGCCTGGGCGATAAACCGAAAAATAACAAATACCGACATTTAAGTCAATAACCGACATCGTTTTGCCCGTGTCGTATTTTCGGTATTTGAAAAAACGTGGAAAAGAGAAACCTGTTCGTTTTTTGTTGCGGTCTCAAGCCGCCCAGTCTGAAACAGACGTTCAACAAATCAAGCAAACCCCACAGCTTAGGTTATCCAATCAGAGCAGAGCAGGGTGGGTCTTTCTGGTGTTGGTGAAGCAGTCTGGGATAAACACCGGTCAGCCTTCAGCTCCTGTCCTGAGCGAGCAAAACCTGTCTTCTCTCCACATTTTGCTCCCGAGCTACCCGAGACTTTGGTATCTAAAATCTAACAGACTATAAGTTTATGTATTCAGAGCCTCGTTATCGAACAGATATGTCCAACTTTGCTCTCTTGACCAAACTCCTCACCTCGACAGCTCTGTTACGGGAGCGAGCCGAGGTGCAACAGGCTGAGTTGTTCTGAGAGCTGCTGTTTCAGCTCTTCAAATGAAACAATATTAACTCTAACAGATCAACATTTGCTTGTCCCATTTTATAGAAAAGATGAGTCTCTGCTTAACGTTACCCCCCCCCCACACACACACACACACACAAAACAAAAACAAAAAAAGCCTTGATGTAGTTTATCATAA